CACCCAGGCGCCCCGAGGGTCACTGTCTTTTAACTACAGTTAACTTAGTACCGTTATAAAATAGATTGCCTTGTGGGATGCGGAGGACTTCCTCTAGGTTGGTATTCTTTTTTTTTTTTTTTTTTAATTTTTTTTAATGTTTATTTATTTTTGAGACAGAGAGAGACAGAGCATGAATGGGGGAGGGGCAGAGAGAGAGGGAGACACAGAATCGGAAACAGGCTCCAGGCTCTGAGCTGTCAGCACAGAGCCCGACGCGGGGCTCGAACTCACGGACCGTGAGATCGTGACCTGAGCCGAAGTCAGCCACTTAACCGACTGAGCCACCCAGGCGCCCCTAGGTTGGTATTCTTAATAGACAAGTTCATATATTTGAAGCCTACCTTAATAACTTTAAGAAATCAGTTATTAAGTCTTGGTAAATGAGAAATTAATGCCCTGTTGTCTTACATGTTTTGCTATGGTATTGTTATTGGTTACAATATTACATTATAGCTTGGAAGTAGTCTCGTGCAATGAAATACACAGGATATGGGCGAAAACAGCTCAGAATGTTTCTCTCCCCTGTTCTCTTTCACCTTCCCCCCTGCCTTATGTCGAAATGAATAAAATAGAACCCACTACAAACTATCGAGCAATTTCTGATATAATCTATTTCCTACTTACTTCAAGAAAGGCTTTAAACATTTTATCTACGAGGGGGAATAAAGTTGGGGGAGGGGAAAAGACAGCAAATCCTTTTGTCATGATGTGGTATTCCTACATGCCCAGGTAGTTTCTGTTGATAATCTAACTACTTATTCCCACACGGTAATTTCCCCCTGGCTCTCCAAAATTTTGTCCACCTGCCATGCTCAGGCCATTCTCAAGAGAGCCGTAGTATGTCTGTACTTCTTCTGTTTTCTAGACAACACCAACTATTCAGAGGCTGACATTCTTGGGACCTCAGATAACACTGCCCTTGGTGTTTCCCCTCTTCGCCACGTAACAGAAACACGCTTTACATCATGATCTCGGAGCCCAGTGGCCTTTTACATAGTCTGATCTTGCTCCAAATGAAAGAGAAGTGGAGAGAAAAATACATATGGTGATGGTAGTTGGCGCTGGGGGTGTGAGGTATGAGGCAAGCCAGAATCATAAAGCCGTTTGGTGCTTTGCCATTTGCCAGAAAACCAACTTAGAGATTCAGACCCACTTTTTAGTAAATCTAAGGAAGAAAATATACAAGCTAATAAGACAAATTAGGTATGGATTATTAAAAATATAAATTGTTTTTCAACTCAGAAAATTATTCACCATCTTATGCCTGATACCTCTCATATATTCAGATTATGGTTCAATATACAAGATAATAATAATGATACATTTTCAGAAATTCATTAGGAACACATGGATTGCATAAAATACATCTGCCTTCTTTTCTTAATGTCTTTTAGATTTCTTTCAATGGCAGAGGTTGCTGTAGCCTACTGTATTATCCATTCTGCCTTTCCTTCTTAGTGATACCACCCAAACTTATTTGGAGAGGCAGCATACTCTGTCAAAAGACTACATTTACCAGATTCCCTGCAGCTAGGTGTTGGCCTGTGGTGTGACTAACTCTTAGCCAATGAGCCAAGCAGAAACTCGGTGGGACTTCAGAGACTCCTCCTTAAAGAAAAGATATGAACCATTCATACTTTCCATTTATACTTGCTGCCTAGAATGTGGATGTAATGACTGGAGCTCCAGCAGCCATTTTCAACATGAAGTAAAAGCCACACACTAAAAATGGAAGAGCAGAAAGGTCTCTGGTGACATTATGGAGCAGCTATCCCAGCCAGAGACTGCCTACCTCTGGGCTTCTTTTAGTTGAGAGAGACACAAACTTTTATTTTGCGTGGGACCCTTCTTCTGTCTTGTTTTGTTCTTTGTTATATGTAGCCTAACCTACTTCTGACAAATACATTTTAGTTTCCAATAAAATAATTCTTAAAATTCTGTTCTAGTTATGAGTAGCAAATACTAACAAAATTCATTTATTAAAGGTTTTTGTGTAGGAGTGTAGCTCTAAAAAGAATGTTACATTTTTTCCCTTTCTGATTTGTAGTTAATACTGCCTTTAAGAATGTAACATGATTTTGTTGTTGTGTTTACATTTTTTTTGTACATTTGTTTGACTTCAAAATTTTTTAAAATTTTTTAATGTTTATTTTTGAGAGAGAGAGAGAGACAGAATGTGAGAGGGGGAGGGGCAGAGAGAGAGAGAGGGAGACATAGAATCCAAAGCAGGCTCCAGGCTCTGAACCAACAAACCGTGAGATCATGACCTGAGCCAAAGTCGGACGCTCAACTGACTGAGCTACCCAGGTGCCCGTTTGACTTCAAATTTTAACAATCTCTTCGGAAATGGTTCAGGTCTTACCTTTGAAAGCATCGCCTAGAGCTAACTAAGTTAATTAAGTTAGCACAAATTTCTTCTTTCAACATCTTTCTTCTTACTAGGATAAAGTAGTACTATTTATTTATTTAAAAAAAAAATTTTTTTTTTAACGTTTATTTACTTTTGAGACAGAGAGAGACAGAGCATGAACGGGGGAGGGTCAGAGATAGGGAGACACAGAATCTGAAACAGGCTCCAGGCTCTGAGCTGTCAGCACAGAGCCCGATGCGGGGCTCGAACTCACGAACCGTGAGACCATGACCTGAGCCGAAATCGGATGCTTAACCGACTGAGCCACCCAGGCGCCCCTAAAGTAGTACTATTTAATCTGCTTCTAGGGACTATCTGCTTTATTTGTGGGGCTCATTAACTTACAGCTTCCTTAATTTCTCTCCCCCCTCCTGATTCTTCATGATGATCAAAATCTTGGAATCTATTCTGCCTTGCAAAATAGAGACCTCTCTATCCTAGTCCATACAAGCCTTTTATAAGTGATATGGGTCAATTCAGACTTTACGTGTTTACCTAGAAAATGAGTGGATGTCACAGTCATAAATTTATATGGCTACTTTAAGTTCCACAAAATGACTTGTTCTATACTTTGTGAGGAAGCCCAGAACCCAGCATACGTTCCGAGAGCTAATCTGTCTGCTCTTTTCACCTTCCGGGGTCTCATTCTACCCAGGCATTTGTAGATGAGATTTCAAGTTTAAGGGTGGACTATCCCAACAACATCCCCTTGAAAGCCCAGTTTTCCAGAAGAAGGGTTTAACTTTTCAAGAACCAGAATAAGAAAGAAAGGGAAGAAAAAGAGTTTGTGGAAATAAAACTTGTTAAGTATTAGGATAAAGCAGGACAAGTACTGACTGACATGCTGATTTCACCATCAGCCACAGAGAAAGTGTAGATTTCAATTTGTGTGCAAATCTGAAGAATGTAGTTAGTGTGGTTGTTTTTCTTGAAAACTTTAAATAGGTCACTACCTTCTCTTATTATTTAGCAAACTCTTTAGCTATTCATTGTACAAGTATTTCCTGCATCAAATGGCTTACATTTTATTCAGCCACATTTGAGAGCACTTCTCCCTTTTAACGGGGCTACTTCAGTTAATTACTTTTCTTTTTCTTCTTCTTTATATATATATATAATAAGTGGAGCCTAAGGGGGTCCATCCTAAGAGGTTAGATTTTATTACTCTTTTAAAAAGAGCATCCAGGGGCACCTGGGTGGCTCAGTCCATTAAGCATCCGACTTCGG